CAAGTGATCTAAGGAGATTTTGGCGAGTTGTGTAGTAGATTTAGTCATGAAAAAACAAACTTTGTGCTAAGCAAATACAAAACTAAAAGGTTTATCTATATTTGATCAAAATATATATCATAGAACTATTGAAAACAGTCTACTTACTTCCATTCCCAAAAGTTTAAGAGCTTTAGGCTGCGTAATGAAAGAGAAAAAAAATATATTAATTTACTGAGATAACTGTAGATAGTAGCAATGTGTATGCTACATTAGTAGTATTGTTAATAGTGGACAGTAATAGATTAAAATGCTTTGTATCTTTACTAAATAATGACAATATCCAAGGGAAAGGAATGCTGTCATAGGGAAACTGCTTCTGTCGGCAGAAGTCAGTTGAGGAGCAAGATAAGCAGACATGTCCTATCCTTATTGCAGGTGGAACCAGAGAAGTGTCCTAACAAAAATCCAGACACGGAGCTATGGAGTTGGGGGTGAAGGGAAGACTTTGTGAAAGATCTGACTTTAGACTTGGGCTTTTGGTGAGAGGAAAATTTTGAAAGGTACAATCAGGGGGATGAGCCATGGAAAGCACAGGAATAAAGTTCGATTTTGTTGGAGAAATATAGTCTACCGTGACAGGGTGGGGACAGCAGGCAGAGAGTCTTGGATGCTGTGATAATGAGTTTGGCCATGGTTGTTCAGGCAGCAGGGAACCCTGAGTGCATCTGGGCAGGGAGTGTGCTGTTGTGTCCCTTGCTTTGGAAGATGATGGTTGCTACAGTGGAAGGGTGGTCAGATGGATTGGAGGCAGGAGAGACTGTAGCTGTCTTCTCAGGAGGAAGGTAACCGCAGACAAAGGAGGGCAGATGCAATTGATTTGCTGTGCTGCTGACATGCTAAGGGGTGGGTTAGGGAGGAGGACGGTGCAAGAAGCTGGCCATCCATAAGGTTGGAGAGGCCTCACATGGGGCAATCACTGCAGGAGGCTGGAAATTTGTGTTGGAAGATGGTGCAAAGATTTTGGCTTTGAATAGTCTGAGTTGTTGGAAAGCACAGAAAGGAACCATATGTCACTTTGGGAAACACAAAACACTGCACAGCCACTGAGCTGTACCCTCTTAGGTCCAAACAAGTTGTTGTATAGGGTCCGAAAACTTTTCCGAGTGTAGTTGCAGCGGTAGGCTCCTCCCATGAGGTACTCCAGCACAAGCCCTATGTCTATGAGGCTGATGTGGTAATCAGGTGGAAGGTTGCTCTGTTTTAAAAAAGAAAAAAAAAAGATTTTTGTCTCATTCACAGTGCAGACATCATCTCATACATTGGCATAAGTGGCCATCTCCACTTGGGAGTTCATGACATGTCATAGATGAGTGATTACACAATATTCAATCTCTGGTCATGTGATTGAGGGGGATATTGGTTTAAATCAGATTCCAGAAAATGAGTTAAGCTTTTCTAACAGGAAGAAAGGGTTAGAAGTCTATATCACTATAGGGTTAACGATTGGGCAAGATTGTGGCCCAACATGTCAGTTTGCAGTTCTCATGTGTAAATGTGAGGAAATGGTATGGTGTAGCTGGCACACAGCAGAGGAGTTTGGATGAGCAGGTGCTTCAGTAGCTGCCTGTAGAGAAGAGCCCAGCCTCATGGGGCAGGGGCCAGATTTAATGCAAAGGAGAAAGACTTCATGGGAGGCCATGGGAGGTCAGAATTTCCCCAGGGACTGGAATTTTCTTGTGAAAGCCTTCATGGTGTCCAGTCTATTTCTAGGGAAACCCAATAATACAAACACTACATACCATCTGGTGTGTCTGGGAGTGGTGAAGGGAACAGTTTGTATCAATGTGGAAGAGAGTCTGTTAAGACAGAGTCAGTGGGAGAGAGGAGGAATAGACAGAACAGAGGTGCCCCAGGTACTCATAGTCACTCATTCACATCCTGGGCTGGTTGACTTATTCAGGGAGCAGAGCTAACCAGATGTATAGGAATTTTTGCTCTGTGCCATTTATTGATGGGTTAATTTCATATGGTTGAAATGATGGTGGTATCTTGGGATCCATCACGTGACCATTACTCATTCCAAACATACTTCCTTTAAAATAGGACAGGCCACATTAACTAAAAAATTCACTCATGCATTACAAATTTGTTCCCCACCTATTGTGATCCTTGACCACATTTCTTATTAGTGATGAGAACTCTAGGGAGCCAGGTGTTGTGTGGCAAAACTGTCAACAGCCCCAATGCAGTAGAATATGCAATGCACAGGAGTGGCTGGAGTCTGCTTAGGTGGGCGTTGTAAGGGTGAGTAAGCGTTCCAGGAAGAACTTCTAAGGCAGTTTGGAGCAGGTGGAGCAGGGACAACGGGTGAGAAGGTAGAAGAATGCTGCAGAGGTGAGCACAGTGTGGTGCAGGACAGAACACAGACTCCTCAGACACCAGAGAGTTAGGTGGGGTCAGTATACAGTATGGTAGGGATGTGATAGGTTAGATTAGGGGATGTGGACATGTCCAGGCCCAGTGGGGTGCATGTTCCTTGGAAGGAGCTTGAGTTTCATGTTGTGGCCCATTGAGAAACTTCAGACGACTTTAAGCTGGATATAGAGGATAGAAGGAGATTATTGAAGCCATTCAATTGGGAAATTGTTGGGCCTGAACCAGGGTAACTATCACTTTTGAAAGTTTGACCTTCCTAATCAATCTTCCAGCTGGGTTCTATGGGGAAAAATCAGAATCCTTATGTGGAAAACAGGGCTGTAAGTCAGAGGATCTTGGAGGACCCTCTTAGTTCCCAGATCCACTGATTCTGTTTTGCTTCATGAATCTCTGTAGAAGTCACATTCTCATATATTATTGGAATCAAATGTTTGTATTAAATCTGGGAAAACTATCTAGGACTCTGGCTGAAAACCCTATTCTTTGATTTCAGTTATTTTCTATTGCTCAGAAAACAAGTACATATTACAAAATCTGCGGGCCAGGCATTTTAACAAAATGAATCACTCTCCTTTGAACCTAATCTAATCCTATAACCTATGGCAAGAGGGCACAAGAAATACCACACTAGAATACCAAGAGAGGGATGTTGTATAAGAACACAGACTGCAAGTAGTCAGAAACGGTGGAAAGTGAGAAGAGCAGCTATAGCTTAACAATGAGGGAACAGAAAGGCCCAAAGACATCTGCTGCAATCTACAGGACACACAGAATTAATGAAGGACCTCCTGTTGGTACATATGGAAAGAGGCATAGTGAATGAGTGAGAGATCCCAAAGTAGGTATATAAGGCTGCCCTGGGGATGGTGGTGCTCAGGGGAGGGAAGGCAAGGTCCTTGCTGGCTGCTGCCCCTGGTTTGGCCATGGCACCATCCATAGTCAAGCAGCCATCCAGCACATTCCTATCATGTGGGGATGCACAATCAACTTGGAAAAAGCTTCTCCTTTTCTCTTTTAGTTTATGAAGATATTTGTTATGTCCCATGCATCCAATAACAAGGAGCTAACACATTTTGGAAATTTAAAACCCCACTTTTAAGAAATTTGTTTTAGTGAAAGATGACAATAGGTAAGGATTATAAAACAGTGGATGGACTGACCTTTTTTACATCCCTCACCAGCAGATGAAGTGTGTTTGGTGGACCCAGTCTCTGAAAGAGAAGCATTTAGCCATATTAAATAAGTTTTTCTTTCATTCTTAGAACAAAATTCTGCTCTATTGTGTAGAATTAATGACCTGCGAGAGTTGGAGTATAACCCATTATCAGCCTATTTGTTTTAGGAGATAGAACTGATTTTGGTTAGGAAGTATCTGTCACCTTCAAAGGTATGTAAGATACTTTTTGTTGAATTACTTTAAAGAGTATATTACAGTGCCCAATATAGCATTAAAGATTCACTAAGTTTTAGCAAGCAGCTGCTGAGGACTATTTCTGCCACTTAAAATCTTAGAATGGGGAAGAATATATATTCTCAAAACTTGCAATATACACAAAACCAAGGGGATTTCATTCAGACACTTCCATTCTAATGCAGCAGAGCTCCTTGTATGAAAACTTAGTTGTACATTTTTCACCAAAGCCTGATAAAAATGTGAAGGTCCCAAGGGAAGAGTGATTAATGACCCCTGGTAGCTTATCAGACTGCTAATGACTTTAGGAAGCTAGGTTCTTTCATCTCCTGAATATGAATAAGAGTTCATACAGAGAATTCCTGACTTAGATAGTTTGTCATCAATTGTGAGACTTCACAATAGAGTGAAAGTGGTACAGATGCATTCAGTGGAAACTGAAATTAGAAGTTTGATCTTTTCTTCAAGTTAGTCATGTGCAGTCTATTCCACTCTCCATACCGGGTAGTGGAAGTGAGCCACAGTTCCCAGACAGCCCCATGACCACAGGAAAACAACCAAGACTCTACAGCATTCGATGTTGCTAAACTATGATATTTGGTAGGATGGCTACATTAAATGCATGTTCTACTTATAATATTTTTAACATGATATGTTTATAGGCACATAAATCCATTGTAAGTCAAGAAGCATCTTCACCACTCCAGAAGAGAGTGTCTGGCTAGGCACAGCACTAGTTGATAATTTGAACACATTTATGCATATTATGCACCAGTGATAAAAATATTCATAGGGCTAGCTCTTTTCTGACCCCCTTTTCTAGAACACTCACCGTGTTATAGAGCTCCTCCAGCCTCGGAATGGTAAGAAAGTGTTGCATGTTCACTCCATTTTCAATCAGGAGTTTGACAAAGTCAACTCGATCTAAGACTAAAGCATCCAGCATCGCTTGCTCTAGAGCATTCACCTGTATGAATCCAGAAAGGAGAGCCCATAAATGGCCTCTCAGAGAGACACCAGGCAGAACAATTGGAAACATCATGGAAAGAGTATTCGAAACCTCAAGATTTTGGAATATTCAGAATGTGGTTCTGTGTTTCTCTCCCTCTTCCCCCACCCCTTTCTACCTCTCTCTCTTTTTTTTATGGTGCTGGGGATAGAACCCGGGGGCCCCACACATGCTACACAATTGCCCTACCAATGTGCTTATGTTCCTAGCCCCTAGTTCTCCATGCTCTTTGACTTGAGTAAACCGGCCTCATCTCCTCTCTTTTCTTCTCACTTTGACTCCTATGTGTCTTATCAAAGCCTACAAAGGATTCTCTCCCTTTTAAAATGAACTGAAGAGATTTGAAAATTCAACATCATCTTGGTGTTGCTCTGTTCAGTTCTCTCATTTGTTTTCTTGACTGAGATATACCCTCGTGGCAGCCACAGGACCATGACAATGGCAAGGACATGCCCCTGCAGAGGCCCTGTTTTGACTATATCCTAGCAGCAGCAAGTTGGAGAACCACCATGCACATGTGGCTCTGGCCTTCCAGCTCAGACAGCTACAGTTGCCCTCACATACCCATCACAGGCTCTATCTTTCAAGAAGGTTTTACTGTGTGAATTGGGATTATGTGGTAATAATTGGCTTATTTTCCATGCATCAAGCATCTGCATGTCGGCTAGGAAGAGACAGCCACTATTAAGATGACCAGGACCACTTCTCCTAGTGGCATTTTCTTCCCAAAGCAGAAATGTGTGGTGTCTTTGACAGCTGACATCTGCATCACAGTGAGCATGTCATTTCTGTTGAAATATTGACATGTTCCCATCAATCATTTATCCCTGCCTCCTGGGACTCCAGGCCCTCACAGAACTAAAACAAAGGGGACAAGAACTGCCCCTACCACTGGAGAAGTAAGGTGATGCCAACTCCAGTCTCCTGGATCCCAAAAATCAAGAGCAAGGACTTTCCACAAACCCAGTTCAGCAGCTCGATCTTCCGGGGGTCAGTTTCTTCCTCTACTTCCTCTTTTGCTTTCCCTTTCTTCTTGCCTTTTCCTTTTCCTCTCCCCTTAGTGGTAGCTGTGGGTGGCTTCTTCTCCTTCTCTGTGGCTTTAGTATCCACCGGAGGGGCCAGACTTCCAAGGGGCTGCAGTTCACAGCAAGCAGAGTTGGAAAAAGGTATTAAGGCTGACCCTTGTCCTATATCAAGCATCCTGACCCACCCCACCTGTATATGTTCAAACACACACAGAGCACATAAGCATGCCCACTCACACATGGCACATGTGTACACACAAACTCACATAAACCTACATGGATGAAGGCGGCATACATGTGCACAGTCATATACACTCACATATGTACACAGTGCATGCCCATGCATACAGCAAACATGCACACATCCCACACACTGCACTCATGAACATGTATATGAGTGCAAATATGTATATACACCTGTGTATACACTTACACAACCAATGTGGCAGGCCTGGTTATTTGATGGAGATGGTCCTGATTGTGAACCACTGTTGCTCACGTGCACCAATACATACTTGGTTTGATGCAATGGTTTTATGTGTTTGAAGTGGCTGACATATTTGACTGACATGTATTTTTACACAAAGGAAAGGGTGCTTAGAATTAAGTTCAAAGGCACTGAAGAGATGTTCCCATGGTTGACTAATGATAGAACCTGATAGTGAAGGGGCCAGAGACAATGGATATAACTGCAGATGTTTGTCAGGATATAAACATGAACCAGAGCACTTATTGATTGGGTAAAGAAGCTTTGCCAGGTGTCATGGAGCTGTATACAATGTGGTGTTAGACTGGAGACATCAAGGGCACAGAGTGCTCTAGACTCAAGGGAACAGAGGGAGAACAGAAGTGGGACTTTCACCCTGACCTTGCCCTTGGCTATGTGAGAAACATGGGATTATATCCTGGTGCAGACACAGAGTCAGCATTTGAAGAACTTTGACTCTCCTGATGATGACCTCACCTGCTTTCTCCTCCAACCAAACTCTTCTGGTGAGTTTTTTGCCCATGGACATTCTCTCCCTCTATTCTTTCCTCCACTTGCTCCACTCTTCTTCCCTGTCTGTCCACAGCTATGACTTTGGTCACTGATGACTGTGCTTGTGTCTAGCATTTCCTGTCCTCCTTGTGCTGGGTTTTCAGAGCATCTGGCTCTACCACCTGCTTCCTTGCTGAGTCTCTTCCCTTGATTTCCTGAGCTCCACAGGCTCCCAACTTTCCTCTTTTTTGTTTGGCCATTGATTCACAGTGGCAAAGTTCTTCTGGTTTTTGTCTTCAATCCCCTTCCCTTTCACTCTACTCTGTCCCTTGGTGACCTCATTGACCACACCACCAGCCATCATTTATTTGTAAACAACCTATCCTGGCTAGATACAGTCTCCACCCCACCCCCAAGAGTTTCTGCTGCCTACTTGTCATCTCTACTTGCATGTCTCATAGACTCTTAAGTTTGTTTAAGCCAAATTTCTGTTGCTTTTATAGAAAAGTGCCTGAAGCTGGATACTTAATAAAAGAAAAGTGGTTTATTTTAGCTTGTAGCTTTGAAGGTTGAAAGTCTGAATACCAAGGCACTAGCTTTTTTGATGGCCCCTCCGGCTGCATTACATCATGGTAGATGGCACCGTGGTGGGAGTGCTTGCTAGTGGTACCAATCACAGGCAAATCAGGAAGCTGGAGACTGGGGAAGATCCAGTCTTTTTCTAATTATAACAACCTGGTTTAACAGGAGCTAATCTGGGCCCTGCAAGAACCACATTGGTCCTTTTGGATAGAAATGCTTCTGTGACTCAATTACCTTGAAATAGGACCCTATAGATACCTAATCACTGCCACACCAAGGCAATTTCTAGCACATGAAGTTATGGGGGACAAATCTTATTCAAAACAGAGCAAAGCTTATTATGTACAAGACCACACTCAGGAGACCTCCCCTCCAACCTGTTACCCTTTCAGTGGCCCTCATTTCAGTCATGTGGTACCATAATTTACCAGTTGTGCAAGTCAGAAAACTGTCAGTCATTGCTGACATCTTGCTTCTTCCTTACTGCCCTTCTCATGATTAATCTATGCAATGATGAAACATGCTAAATGCTGCTCGATTCTGTCCAATTTTGTCTTTTTCTTTGCCTCTGCTTTAGTCCCAAGAGCTATCTTTCACCTGAATTACTCTAATAGACCCTTAACAGGACCCTGCATATCCACTATTGTACCCACTCAGTGCATTTTCCAGAGAGATCCTTAAATATATAAAAGGAAGCACATAATGTTCCTGCTTGAAATTCCTAAGTAGTATGAAGTAGTAGAGATTACATTATGGGAAGTGTGTGTGCATTTGTGTAGCTTCTGGTCAACATAGAGATGTGGATGAAAGAGTATCTTAACTGTTGTCATGTAAGTAAGACTATCATGGTCTTGAATAAAAAGTGACACAGAATTTAACAAATGGTGCTAGGAGAGTGGATATCCACAGGCACAAGAATGAAGTTGAAGCATTATCTTACACCATAAACAAATATCAAATAATAATTCAAAATGAATAGAGACCTCAACATAAAAGCTAAAACTACAAATCTCTTAGAAGAAAACGCAGGGTAAAACCATGCAATATTGGGCTTGATTTGAATATGACACCAAAGGCAGAAAAGGAAAATTAAACAAATTGGACTTCACACAAAAAAATTGAGTTTTGTGCATCAAAAATACTATCAACGGGGGCTGTGGACGTAGCTCAGTGGGAGAGTGCTTGCCTTGCATACACGAGGCCCTGGATTCTATCTCCTGCACCACAACAAACAAAACAACAACAAAACCTCACTATCAACTAGGTCATCCCACAAATGAGAGAATACATTTTTTTACATTATGTATATGATAAAGGATTAATATCCAGAATATATAAAGAACTCTTAAAATTCACCATCAACAAAAACTAATCCAATTAAAAAATAGGCAAAGAACTTGACTAGCTATTTCTTCAAGGAAGATATACGAATGTCTAATAAAATGCTTAATATCAGTAAATATTAGGGAAATTCAAATTTAAATCACCTCACACCCATTAGGAGGACTATTTTAAAAAACAAACAAACAAAAAACAACAATAATTGGCAAGAAACCCTTGTGCACTGTGGTGAAAAAATAAAGTGGTACAGTTGCTATGAAAAAGAATATTCCTCAAAAATTTAAACATAGAAGCTTGACATGATGGCACATGCCTATAATCCCCAGCTACCAGAGAAGCTGAGGCAGGAGGATTACAATCCCAGCCTGGGCAACTCAGCAAAACTTTGTCTCAAAACAACAATTCAAAAAGGCCTGGGTACTGTAGCTCAGTAGTAGAGCATTTGCCTAGCTTGTGTGGAGCCCTGGGTTCTAACTCCAGTACTGGGGGTGGAGGGAGAAAAAAAAATTAAACATAGAATGGTCATATGACCCATCAATTCTGCTTTTGGGTATGTACTCAAAAAAAATGAAAGCAGGTACTCAAAGAAATATTTATACACCCATGTTCATAGCTGAATTGTTCACAATAGCCATAATATAGAAGTAACACAACTGTCCAACAAAGTAGAGTGTGGTATATATGCAAAGTACAACATTTTTCAGTCTTAAAACAGAAGGAAATTCTGACACACACTACAACATGGATGAACCCTGAGAACACTATGCCAAGTGAAATAAACCACTTACAAAAAAACAAATTACTGTGTGAATTTTCACTTATCCAGATAGAGTATTAAAGTTCACAACAGAAAGTAGAATGTTTGTTGCCAGGAAATGATGGTGATAACAAGGAGTTATTTTTAATAGGTTTTGCAAGATGAAAAGTTTCTAGAGTTGGATGTTGGGGATGGCTGCATAGCAATATAAATGTACTTAATACTACAGAACCGTCACTTAAAAATAGCTAATATGGTACATTTTATCAGGTGTATTTTATTATGACAAAAAAAATTGGAAAAAGGAAACAAAAATAACATCAATAGAAGGAAGCAAAGAGGAAAGACTAAAAGGAAAAGCAAAAGTTTCCAGCCACCATATTGTGAAGACATTCAAGGAACCTTGCAGAGAGTTTACATGGGGAGAAACTGAGGCTTCTATCCAACAGCCAACGTCAATGTGCCAGCCATTGCGACCTGCACTGGAAGTGAGTCCTCCAGCCCCAGTCAAGCCTTCAGATGACTGCTGCCCCAGCCTACAGCTGGACTCCAATCTCATGAGAGCCCCTGAACCACAATTACCCAGCTAAGTCACTCCCAAATTCCTGACCCTCAGAAACAATAAATGTTTATTGTTTAAAAAGGAAAAGCCCTGAAGTGAATCTCCAAGCCTGGAGATCTCAGCTTTCGGGCCTGGATCTTATTTGCAGGACTCTGCAGTGCACAGATGCTAGCCAGCTTGTAGCCTACCCTGAGTTATTCTTTTATCATTCTGCATTCTAGCCACCCTGGCCTTTTTCCTTCTTTCTTATTTTCTTGAAAATGCCTGGGGCTCTTCCTTGTCCTAGCCTTTTCTCATGCCCTTCCCTCTGCATGGAAGGTGCCCACCCCTCACTTCCAACATTTATTCACCTGTCGGTTCTCAGTGTTCATTCATTTTTTCCCCCATAGAGCCCTTCCCTGGTGCCTCAATACAAAGTAGCCCCCTTCCAACACCAGATTTGCTCTTGTGCAGTGTTATGCTTTGGATGTGAGGTGCCTCAATACAAAGTAGCCCCCTTCCAACACCCAAAAGCTCATGTGTAAGACAATGTAAGAAGGTTTGAAGGAGAAATGATTGGGCTACAGCCTTAACATAATCAGTGAATTAATCCCTGATGGGATTAACTGAATGGGAACTGGAGGCAGATGGGGTTCGGCTGGAGGAAGTAGTTCATTGGAGGTGTGGCTGTAGAGTATATATATATATATATATATATATATATATATATATATATATATATTCTATTTGGAGAGTGGAATCTTTCTCTGTTTTCTGATCATCCATGTGAGCTACTTCCCTCTGACACATTTTCTGCCCTGATGTTCTGTCTCACCTCGAGCCCCGAGGAATGAAGCCAACTGTTTATGAATGGAGACCTCTGAAATTGTGAGCTTTCAAATAAACTTT